GAAAAATATTAATTAGTATACTTAAACTAAAAAATATTTTAACTAAAGATAAATATATTTCTATAAATAGTTTAATTATATAATATATTTATTATCTAATGTATATTGATATAAATTTTTTTTGGTATATCAATTATATGACAACAACCATGATTAAGTAATTAATAATAATAAAGCAATACATTTAAAAATTAGATTAAAAATAAAGTATTATAAAATAAAATTGTAATAATTTGATTAAAATTGTAAATTTTTTAATTAATTAAGTTAATGAGGAATTAAAATGTGATAATTTGATGTGTTTAATTTTTTTAATATAAATTTTTAAAATATAATTTAATTTCGATTGAAATTTTCAATTGAAAAATAAATTAAAGAATATTTGTTATTAAACTTTTCTTAAACAATGTATTGAATAGTTAATATCACTCTAGTCTTCATTTATTACAATTTAAATTTTTTAATAAATTTGATTTATTTTTAATGATATTTTTATTTTAGTAATTTAAAATTAAAGTTAATCTTCATTTTGTTAATATTGAGACCAAAGTTTATTTTTAAAGTATATTTTAAAAATTAAATTATTTTTAAAAAATAAATTACTTTTAAAAAATAAATTGTAAAAAATATACTAAAACAATTAAAGTATATTTATAAAAAAATAAATTTAAATATAATAAAAAAATAATATTCATTAGGGACCGATTTCAATTTGGTCGCTATTTTCTCATTAGCGACCGATTTTAATTCGGTCACTAATTAAAACAGAATAAATGTAGTACTTAGGAAGCTTTCCTAGGTCGTCTCCCAAAGACCACAAATTTCTATCAAAGCTTATCAATTTTTAGTAACAAAAAATTAAAAGGGGAGTTTTTTCAAAATTAAAATATTAGATGAAACGAACAAAAACAGATTATAAAAATGCGGATTAAAAATAGATTAAAATGCAATTGATTTTCTGATTCTAATGCAGCGTCACTTATCCTAGATTACGAAATTAATTCGAAATTAACCAACTAAGCGAAGATAAATCCCAAATTATATTCTAATCCAAAATTAATCAACTAAGCGAAGATTAATCTCAAATTAGCTTTAACCCTTGTTCCAATATGAAATTAACCAACTAAGCGAAGATTAATCCCAAATTTTTCTTAACCCTTATTCCAACATGAAATTAACCAACTAAGCGAAGATTAACCTCAAATTATCCTTATACAATTAAGCATTGCATACATCACATAATCTCATATCTAACACAGAATTAAGCAAACTGTGATATAAGTTTCAGTTTATTAAGCATAAACAGATTATAATTCAATACTGAGATTACAAGATGAAGAGTTAAGAGAACAAACAATATGAAATTGAAGAACAAAACCTCAAAGATCTACTTGCATTCTTCTCAGAAAATCAATACAAAGATTTAGCTATCCATAGAAAGTTGAAAACGCAATAGAAGAAACATTATTAAAATTGAAACAAGAATTTAAAAATAATGACAGAAGAGTAACAAACTTGAATGTAAATTGCAGAAGATGAAAGACGGAAGTGTGGTGGCCGCCTAGTCCTTCTGTGATGTGTCGTTTTTCGTGTGATGTGCCTCTCTTATATAAATAACCCTAACCCTAATCTTAATCGAGGTTTGGGCTCAACTAGTCCATGAAACACATCATAAATTGGCTTCAGTGCAGGTCCATGAACTTCAAACACGTGCAGTATTTTCAATACTTATCCAAATTAAGCGATTTTGGTCTCCAACGAAAGCCTTTTGAGCTAGCTTTAAAACGCCACCGTTTCTACTATTTTCGGAGCTCTAATGAAGTTAGGAGACTTAAATTACTGAAGCATGTCCATTGGGCCGGCCTGGTGCGCTTGACCCGTTTTGGATAATTTATGTAAAATCCAATTTAGCTCCGAATTGAATGATTTTGGATCCCGTATAAAATAAAATATGACATTTGACCCAATTTTCCAAGCCCAAAATTGCTTTAAACTGTAAAATGGCATCTAGCCCAATCTTCTAGGCCCAAAATTGCTTTAACTGTCCTAAAATTAATATTGAGAAAAAATTAGATCAAATAGATTTAAATTAATTAAAATCTAATTATTGGCCCAATGAAGCCCAATTAATAAAAATTCACTAATAATAGAAAGTTAAGCCCAAAACACTAATTAAAATAAGTTCAGAAAGGGAAGAAAATACGGAAATATAATGACTCATCAGCGACCGATTTTAATTCGGTCACTATTTCAATTTGTGATTCGGTCGCTAAATTAGTCGCTAAATGATTTTTTTATTTTAGTATGGAATAGTCATCGATTTAGCGACCAAAATTTTGTGACGCAAACTATTGGTCGTTATATCGATCGCTAAATAAAAAAGTGAAACCAAATCATATTTTGGTGGCTAAATCGGTCGCTAAATTGCGACTGAATTAACTCGGTCGCTAAATCGGTCGCTAATTGCGACTGAATTAAAGTGATCGCTAAATTGGTTGCTAATTGCAACCAAATTAAATCGGTCGCTAATTGCGACCAAAATTAAATCGGTCGCTAATTGTGACCGAAAAAATTCGATCGCTAATTTCGGTGGCTAAATGTGTTTTTTTTTGTAGTGGAGAGTCAAGTTAACTTAGTTTTCACCCAAGCGAGTTATTTTTTCTCAAACGATAATCAAGCCAACTTAAATTTCAATCAAATAAGGATATTTTTGCTTGGGAAAGAAGAGAATTGATGCAACTAAATTTTTATGCTCAAGTGAAATTTTTAGGGTATTTTCTATCTAAACTTCTAAAAATCATCAAAAATAGATTCTAACTCCAAATTTTGCATTTCATATATTTAAATTGAAGATGTAAAAATAAAGAATCCAATTAAAACAAGAATTAATTAAAAAGAATATTTACAAAGAAAGTTAGGGTTAAAAGAATAGACAAATGTCAAATTGAACAAATACATTTAGTCAAAACAAATTCAATTTATTAAAAATATAAGAAAATGACATGTGTGATGAATTATGAAATGACATGGTGGTATTATGTGTTCGTGATACTAAGATATATCTATTGAAATTTAGTCGAATCAAATAGTTACTCAAAATCGACTGAGATATATTTATGTATGTGAGATTAAGTTAAGTCAGAGATGTAATACATAATTGACTTAGATATGAGTGGTTGTAGATACTAAGGAGGTACTGTGTGATTTTTGTATAATTAGTATGTTTGTACTTATTCAATAAGATCTTAGGTTCCATTGATGAGAGGAGTATTGATAACTTGCCCTGAGATGACAAGAAATATGCATTAGACATGTAATATTGTTAGTAGTCCTACTTTGTGAGTAGCGAGGTCAAAATAATGTTGGTAGTCAGATAGTATTTATTGTAGTAGTGACCTACAAATGTTAGTCTATGAGTTATAATGGTGTTTAGTGATAATATTAATTTCTAATTTACATGTACATTTATAATATTGATCCCGAAATTTAATGATAATTAAATATATTTATTTGTATATTTATAATTTTTATTTATCATATTTTCATATTTATTATATAATTTTATAATAATATATTATTTGAGTTCACGTGGTGATTTATCACTAATAAATCACAGGAGTACAAATGATATTTCAAATACAAGACTCTAAAAAAAAGTTTATATACATATTTATTAATATTTTATTATATTATTATGTAATAATAGTATATATTATTTTTTATTAAATACTTGTTAAACATAATATCCTTTCTTAATATATAGTTGATGCAAATTATTTCTCGCAACATATTAGCGATTTTTAATATCATTATATTTTCATTGAAAGTTCATATTTGTTTAGCATAATTCTTTTGAATTTGTACCATTTTCTTATATATATTATTGAAAATTTTGTTTTATAAATCAAAATTAATGATTAAAAAGTAAGACATTAAAAAATTGTTTTAAAAGTAAAAAAGAAAGTGTGGATTTCATGTTTATATGTCTGATTATAAAAAGTATCAATATAAACATTAATGCTATATTTTTCAAACCTTGATCTCTGTACTGTTTTCTAGTTTTTAAATTAATTATCAAGTGTATGTTTTAAAATATATATTATAAATGAAAAGTCGATTAACTGGTTGGTCCGCGATTGTTTATTTGTGAGTAAGTATAGAAAATTAATATAAATTATATTGTAATTTTTATTATAAATAAATTTTTAAAAGAAAATATTTATTTATGTTACTAATTTGTACAGTTATTATTATTTATTCATAATTAGTAGTTGGCCTGTTATTTTTTATATTTAATATTATTCTATAAATTTATTTTTAATTTTTTTTATTATGTTCTATTTCTAGAAATCTATATTTGTTAAAAGAATATTTTTTTTCTAATTATTTCTCAATATCTTTCATATTGCATTATTTTGTAACGAAGCTACATAAAATAGAAAAAGTTATTTCATCAATCCTCATTTAAAAAATTACAATTCACTCGAACGATGGTTTTTTTTTCTCATTTACCTTATTTAGTTTTAATAAGTAAAAATATTTGTCAAAGCAAACAATATTGAAAATTCAAATATTTAACTTTCAGTTGAATTGAAATAGTCGTTGAAAAATTTCTTACACTTACCACAAAATATAAAAAAAAATGGAAATTGTATATTTCTAATTTATTGCTAAAAAATTTGCACGTTTTGAACATATATAATATAGTATTACTAAGAAGTGCATTAATAATGATATTAATAATTGGTTTCTAATGAAAATAAAAATTGTATACTCAGAATAAAAAAAAATTGCATGCAGTCAATGAATTATTCATTTTCTTAAATTGGTCAACGATTTATTTAAAATATTTCCTAAATATATAAATATGTTTTTTTTTAAATTACTGAGAAGAGTTTGTAATGGAACCTTAAATTCTAAATTAAAAACTTTTACGTAAATAGAGAAAGATAAATATCAAAATCAATAACCCATTTCATTCAAAAAGTTAAATTTTTGAGTCATACATAACAAACATCATATGAGAAAAATGATGAAGCATTATACATAGGAGATATTGAATATACCTTTTGAATGAAAGGATGATGAAGAAGCATTGAAGCACTCCATCTGAGAACATGATCTTTAACAAAACACTTGCTTAAGAAATTTTCACAATCCCAACCAAGTCCATTAGGTAGTTTTGGTGCTTCTTGAAGGAATCCAAGCTTCCACATGAGTTCTTCTTTGGTTTGCACATTCCTCCATGCAGGAAATCCAGTGATCATCTCAATAACAATGCACCCAAGAGACCATATATCCAAGGATGATTCAACCAGACCTATGAGTGATTCCGGAGACATGTAAAAAGGTGTACCTCTAAATTTGATGTTCCCAACGTCAACATTTGTCTCTTCTTCTTCTTCTTCTTCTTCTTCTTCTTCTTCTTCTTCTGCTTCTTCTTCCTTGGTCTTTGACAATCCAAAATCAGCAATCTTTAGTTGATACTCTGAATGATCATCACATGCAGGAAACAGCAGAATGTTATCTGGTTTGAGATCACAGTGCACAACTCCTTTTTCATGAATATCAGCAAGTCCCTTCAGAATCATGCGTGTGTAAACTATCACTTCCTTCTCTGACAATGACCTGTTTCTTATCAAATCAGTGAGAGAACCATAAGGAGCAAATTCCATGAAAAGATTGTAAGTAACACAACCTCTCTCAAGAGTGTACTGATAGAAATAATACTGAATGATTTCCTTACATCCCTTTAATAACTCCAATATATTTTTCTCCCTTTGCAATGATGCAATTGAGAAAAGAAAATGGCTTGAATTTTTCACAGCTACAAGCTTTAAATTTTGTTCTTCTGGAACAAAAACAGTAGCAAGATACACAGTTCCATACGAGCCTTTTCCTAACACTCTCAGCTTCTCCCACTGTGCCATCTATTTTGATTCTGTGAATTTCATTTGGCATGCATATACACGAATTTAAATCCCAAAATCATTTCTTGAGATGTAAGTTTTGAAAAAATAAAATAAAATATTCTTAATGAAAAAATCATCGAAAATACATATAAAATATATATTATTATTGTTTTAATCAAAGATCCGTTAATTATCTGATGTTTCCATTAAAATATTTGGACATTAGAATTAAGTCTAATAATAATTTTATTAATGAAGGAAATAACTTATATATTTAAAAAGTAAATATTTTATATCTATATTTGACATATATTTATTTATTTTACATTTAATCTTGAGGGTAAATTTAAGGTAAGAATTTATCGCAAAATGAGATTAATTATGATAATTGGTCGTTAAAAATATTATTACTGAACTCTTTTGTCTTTTTTAATATGTTTGGTCCCTATTATTAAGGAACTATGATTTTATATTACTCTGAAAACATATGTGTTTAATTATAGTAATAGAGCGTTTATGTGTTTAATTACAGTAATAGACCGTTTATCAGTACACAAATTAAAAACTGAGTGCTTTAAAGATTATTGTGAACCAAATTAAAGATGATATATATGATAAGTCTAGATTTTTTATACAAATATATCAATTCTACCTTTTAATCATAATCAATTATATATTGTCTTAATTTACTTATATATATTTTTTATAAAAAAAAATTAACTTTAACAACTTAGCTTAAAAACATCTTCATGAAAATTACTTTAAACCTCTAACGTAAAAAAAAATTATAAATTTACGTAATGTTTTTTTTAAATACATAATTCAGTAACGTTAAAAAAAAAAAACAGTAATTATGTTGGTCGAAAATAGAGTAACAATGCATTACTCACTCAGTCAAAATAATAATAAAAATAAAAATAAAAAGACAACTTTTTATTTTGATCTTTTTATTTCACTGATTCAATTGGATTTTTTTATTAATAAAATATTAAATCTGATTTTAATAATGACATTTGTTATACCAATGAATATATACGGATGCAGTATGTCATGTTTATATTTTTTACAATGATAAAAATAATTAACATAATTAAGAAATTTTATTATTATAATAATGAAATGCAGTTTACTACACATTAAGAATAAAGTTGTAAAAAATTATATACACTATGATTAACAGGATAAAAATAACAATATTAGTATATTTTTTTAATTTTATCTTTGAACTCTATAAAATTGTAAATAATTGTTTTATTCTATATAAATGTGTGAATTTTAGTTTTAATTTCTGTAAAATATTTTTTTTATCATTTTATAATTTTCTTGACCTATTCAATTAGATTATTTTTTAAAATAATTTTACATCTTAAAAGTAATTGTCTTATTTTATTATATTTTCTATTATTTATTTATTTATTATTATTATTATTTATTATTGGACACAACAAAATTATAATTACTTATAGATGAATTACAAATTGAACGAATTATTTTTTGTGAAAAAATTTCATTTTTTTATTGGGTTAAAAATGTTTGTTTTTTATTTAGGTAATTATTTTTAAGTTTAGTTTAATTTATTTAAAAGTTAAACAAATTCACCTGGTCGAACCTAATTTGACAATCTTATATGACCAATATTATTATGAAACATATATCTTACTTAAAAAAAAATTCAAATTAGAATAATAATCGGAAATAATCATGAACAGAAAATGAATAAAAAATTATTCAAAAGAAGATGACACCAATTATTTGTTTTACAGTGTAGATTCAACCTTTTCATTTTAAATTATATTAAAGTTAGAAAATAAAATATGATTTTTGAAAAAAAAATGTGAAAGTTGTTAAATGTTTTATATTTCCATTTAAGTAAAAAGTTTCATTTCCTTGTATGCATTGAAAAAAGAAGAAGAAGAAGTTAAATTTATAACATGTTTTTAGTGTTATTTATTAAATATTGTGTGTAAATTAAATTTATAATTGTAAAAAAAAAGTTAAAATTTCTAATTCATAAAACTAATCCAAATTGATAAAATTAATCAAGACCTATAGCTAAATTTGATTTGAATATACATTTTGTTATTATAAATTAATTAAGTTCATAAAATGAATTAACAACAATAATGAACATGCATTTTACTTTTTTTTCTTTTTGACAGAATATATGTTTTCATTGGTTAAGAATACAAAAACTTGAAAAAATTACATAATGTGATATTTGCTTTCTAAGTTTTTGGCAACAATTTAAGTGTAGATACTAATTAAAAAATAGAAATGATGAAAATGATTATTTTATCAGTACCTACAAATATATCTTCATTTTTTGTCTTTGAAAATTTCTATTAGTTTTAATATTTGTAAATTCTAAAACTTTTGGAAAATAATCTCCATCATATTAAGGGGTAACTATAGCATACAAGTAATTGTAGGTCAACATACTACAAATATTATACTTTTCAATAGTATTAGATTCTATATATAAATAAGCTCTCATCATATTCAAAGTTTATAAACATTTATATAATAGATGAAAATTAATAATGGATAAAGTGGTAATTACATTTGTGGTAGGAACAGAACAATAGGGCTCCTTACTTGAAAAGTTCCATCATCCCAAATCAAAAAAGAAGAAGAAATCTCCACATTAAGTGTCCCTTCAATGGAAAGAGTGAAGGATTTCTTTTGACCCACAGATGAGAAGGAGATAACATCTGGCTCCACTTTGAAATTTGACAAAGATGGTGGTAGGGCAGTTACCCTGGCTTTATATGTTGATGTATTGGATCCAACATTGGTAACGGTTCTATGAAAAGTGCCATGAAAAGGTGTTGAGCTGTTAATGGAAAGAGCAAAAGATGGGAGATTAAGATCCAAAGCCATTCCATTATTGGTTTGTGTACACTTACTACTATCTTTTGTAATAGATTTTAGCTTTTTGGTATCATAACCATGGCCGCATAGAAAGTTAACATAATCAGTTTCATTTGCATCATAAACCAAGCCAGGATTCAGTGCCTTGATGGGGTTGATTTGACCAGCACCATAAGCAAATTCAGCTTCCGGATTAAGTTGTACGCTCATTGGGGTAGCTGCAAATAATGTTCATCATAACAGTCATATATAATGCATTAATGCTTTAGGTAACAGCAAATTACACAGTAAGAAAAATGATGATTTTTTTTAGGTTCAGAAGACTTATATATACCAGTGGTCATTAATGCTGATTTGATTGCTGCAGGGGACCAATCTGGATGAAATGATTTGATATAAGCAGCTGCTGCAGTTGCATGAGGGCATGCCATTGAAGTGCCAGAATTTATACTATATTTTGTTTTTCTCTCATCTTCTTTGACATCAGAAACAGACATAATTGGAGACCATGCAGCTAAAATGTCAACCCCTGGAGCAGCTAAATCAGGCTAAAAAGAAATCAATAAATAGTTAGAATAAGAACAATATACATTTGAACTACAAATTGTTATGTATTATATAAGTTACCTTTAGAATGTTTGGAGTGATTGCATTTGGTCCTCTGGAAGAGAATGAAGCTATGTAAGGGGCTAATGAGTCTTTGCCTTCATTACTTTTAAATATAGTAGCAGTAGGATTACTGTAGTTTGCAGCTAATATAAGTTAGTCATATGCATAGACTAAAGAAAGTGGTATGCAATATGACTGTTGCACCAAGATAATTCAAATTTCAAACTTTTGTTCTAAGTTCTAAGCTTTAATATTTCAGAAAAAGGTAAAAAATACCTTGTTAGATTTATGTAAGATTGTATGAGTGCCCCATCTTCTAGGCTAAGGTGAACTGCTGGCAAAGCAAATGTAAAAGCGTTGTCTTTTGGCGTTGAACTTCTTAGTAAAATACCAGCTGCTCCAGAAACCAATCCCACAGATGCAGGATCTAGAAAACCATCACACAAAACAATCTTTCCCTTCACCACATTCTCGTCCAAGGAATTTTCGAGGCATAAACTAAGTAATGATGTTGCAGGATAAAGTCTTGAATTTCAGTAAATAAAATTTTAAGAGTGTTACGAGAAAGAGAGAGAGAAAGATTAGTTTTTGGTACCTAGATCTGAAACTGTTGAATCCACCAGTGGTGTTGGGTGCATTTCCACCATAAATTAATGGATAGCTCTTGTTTTTCAGATCAAATGTATTGACTGAAACTCCCTGAATATTGAGCAAACCTTCTCGGGTTAATTAGTTAAAACAACCATTATGACAATATGGAAGCCTCACATAAAACTCTTTAAACTTGTATAAACTCTAGAATTATGAGATTTGATAAATTTGAAATCAAAAGTAATCTTATTGGAAGCAATAAAAATATAGAAAAACTAAGTTAATTATAAGATATAAATATGATGTACGAATAAATTATTTCTACCCTTTACCTGATATAAACTGTGCCATCACCCAGCTGAACACTGGTAAAAAACTTTCTGTCTATAGTGCTAGCAGCTACAGAAAGTAACCATGGTGCATTTTTGGATACTGTATAAAACTCTGGACCACTATTACCAGCCGAAGTGGATGTTAATATGCCTTTCTTCATTGCATGGAAAGCCCCAATGGCGAATATATCATTGAAATAGTTGTTGTGTTGTACTTCGGTAGGTCCTAATGAAAGGGAAATGATGTCAACACCATCTTCAATGGCTTCATCAAATGCATGAAGGATGTCAGCATCATCGCAACCTGATGACCAACATGGTTTGTACACAGCAATGCGAGCTGAAGGAACTCCTCCTCTGGCTGTCCCTGAGGCAAGGCCAAAGAAACTTGTGAACTCAACTGAGTTTCCAGCAGCAGTGGATGCACAGTGAGTGCCATGCCCTTTTGAATCCCTTGGAGATATCAAGTCTTCTTTTCCATATGGACCGTTCATGTGAAAATATTTTGCTCCAATTATTTTACTGCAAAAGGGTTGTGCAAACATGCATAAATAGATTGCTAAAAGTCATTTTAAAGGTTTGGTGTTAACGAAATGCTATAAAAAGAATGAGTGTAACAAAGCTTATGTACTTGTTGCAGGTGAAGTTTTGGCAACTTCCCTTCCATTTTTGTGGGGGTGGACCAAATCCTTGGTCGTCAAAACTATCAGATTCAGGCCAAATTCCATTATCTATTACTCCAACAATTATGTTACTCTCTGTATTTGTTCTCTTCACAGTCTGAGATAAGCCTATGAAGTCCCAAGACCTTGTTGTATGCAGTTCATTCTTTTTGTTTTGGAAAACAGAAACCACTCCATCCAATCCTAAGCAAATATCAGAATCACACACCAGAATAAATAAACACAAGGATTCATGAGTTACAGTAGCTTATAGAAAGGTAATTTGATAGTGAAGAAGAGTTATTGTGCATGTAATTTAATCAATATATACCTTCCATTCTCACTGCTTCCTCTTCTGTTAGCTTTGCAACAAAACCATTAAAACTCTTCTTGTAGCTATGTAGCAAAGTATCTGGTGTATATTTGCTGCACAAATGCCATTTGAAATGGTAAATATTTTAGCAAAACATTTCTTAATTGATCAAGGTTTTCATAAAATAAAAACATTATAAGAAATGTTTATATTAATGCTTCGTTGGAAATTGTATTTACTTTAATAATAAGTATCACTTTCACATAAATTAATTAATAATATTGTTACATAAATACACTAACACTAATAACATTCTAATCAAATTTCATAATATATATATATATATATATATATATATATATATACACACACAAAAAAAAATTACTTATTATGTTGAAATGTAATATTAAGTTAATTAATTAATAACTAAAAAAATATGGTAACATTTTCAGGATTTATATTACGTTGATTAACTAAATATATGTTTATATTATTTATATGTATAAAATGCATAATTAATGTTAAATAATTTTTTAAATTATGAGAAAGTTGGCAACATGAAAAAAAAATTTGACTACACAGGTATTTTATTTGAAAAAATTTTATTAAAAAATTGAATAATTTTATAATAAAAACTTAAAAAACTAATCCAAATCAAACACTGTAAAATGAATAGAAGAAATTAGTAGGAAATTGAAAGAATAACCTGCCAAGGATATTTTGAAGCATTCTGATGTGAAGTGATTCTGAGAGTTCCACGTCCTTTTGATGATCACCCATGTACACGATGTAGGTCTAAGACAAATTACAAATAAAATAAATTTTCATTAATTTACAGTTCAACCACAAAATATAAATATTTCTTCAAGAGAATTTTTTTTGGAAAATATTATTTTCTCAAAAATATTGTATTTTTATTCAAAACTCTTTCAAAGAAGATGATGATATATAAAAATAAACTATATGTGTGATCTTGCAGTTAATACCTTTCGCCCATCATCAGAATATGAGTGAGTCAAAAGAAGAAACCATGCAAGTATGTGGAGAAGATAGCAGAAGCCATGAAAGTTCATTTTTTTTTTTTGGCAATGGAGTTCAGATGAAAGGAAACCCTAGCTTTGATGTATGCATCAAACTCATCTTAAGGGCATATTTATAAGTGAGGAAGGTGAAGACTTGGTGCACCAAACCCTAGCTTTTCACACACATTAACTTTAATTACTCTGCAAAAACATGCAATTGGATTCCATCTTCTAACTTTGTTTTTTTCCTTCCTTTTCGTTTTCATTCATTTCACAGACATTAACTGTGAATATTAATTAATAAAAACATGCATTTGGATTATATTTTTCTCCATCAACTTCATTTAATGCACTCCAAAGACTCTCATAGTTTAAGAGATAAAATTTAAAATACCCTCTTTTTAACACATGAAAACATTTTTTTCTAGACAAAATCATGACAAAGATATTAAAACTTTAAAATGAAGAATAATATTTTTTTCCAATACTTTATATAAATTTCATAATCCATTAAAACATCATTTAAGTTTCAAAGCAAAGAACATATCAAAGATAGTTATATATATTAACCTTAACTAAACTGTTTGATTTGAGATCAAAATAACTATGAAATTATTTAAATCACGCGGTTTCTAACATGAAGAAGACGTGAATTTAAAAGTCAAATTAGAAAATATAAAATTGGTGTTCACTCACTTTTCTTTACGCAACCATGGAGTGAGATGTTATTATTTCTTGAATATTTCTTTCATAAGTATGATATTCTGCTTCTATTAAACAAAAATTTAGCCAGAGCATAACTAAAAAAAATAAAAAATTTGACCGTAAGATAGTTTTTTTTTATTATTATTAAATTTAAAATGAAGAGAGAGATGATAAATTTTATTTACATGATCAAGATTATATACAAAAGTGTTAAACTTTTACAGAGAAATGAGAACGTGTCTCTTAAATGAGTTTTTGCATTTTATTTTATTTAACTATATTATTGGTTTAATATACTCATTAATTTTGTTAATAAATAATCTGTATTGAATAATTAGGTTAACAAATTTTAATAGATTTTCATATTAAATATTAAACATGAATCGTTATTTAAAGGAAAAAAACGAAACCTAATTCCACTTGAACTATCAACTTATTAAGTAAAAAATCTTAAATTTTAGGATTGTGAAAGAAAAACGAAAATTTAGAGAAGTCGTAAAAGATCTATTTTTATTTATTAGTATTAAGCAAACTCAGGATGTTAATTTCAAAACACTAGGCAACGTATAATAATTATATATATATATATATATATATATATATATATATATATATATATATATAATAATAATTATTATTATTATTATGTTAATATAGTATTTGGTGGGCCCTTCATGAATTAGGTTAATGCTTCACACCTCTTCATTAAAGAAAAAAAGTATTTTGATTTTCAACTGACCAAGCACTTCCAAGGTTTTGCCTTCCCTTCTTATTTTGAAGTTGGTTCAATCATCTCCTTAAAAGAAGATTTGGTTGAATGAAAAAGTTGTGAGAAAAATCACGAAATCAAAGGATTAGATGGAGGATGTTTGGTATCTGTGTTTTTTTACTTATGCATTCTATGATGCTATGTTTCTGCGATAGTATGCTTTAATGTAACACCATCATTTAAAAGAGGCTGTAACAACTCCTAAAAGCTCCTTTCTTCAATCATTCTCTTGCCCCCTATTCGGTTCTTGCATTCATTTCACTCTCCCATGCTCAAGTTTTACAATTTTTTTGGTAGTTTTTACTTTTGCCACATTGTTCTTCTATTCCAACTTTTTTGCTTTTTGGTTTAAAATGAGGGACAGATGAAACCTGCTTGTGAAAATGATAGTGAAAAATCCAACTGCAGTGCAATATTTCCATAAAGTAACATGTTAATAAATAGAACATCAACAACATCAAATAACATATCAAAAGATCAGTTGTTGTTTTTTGCATTTTCCATAACACATTCCATTATCGTAGTCAAAGCAAAGCACTCAGCATCTCATTCCAAATATCAGGCACCCCAGGGAGGCACCAATGGCTGCAATCAGAAGAAAGGCCCTTTCCTTGTTTCTTCTTCTCATCTTGGCTTATTACCCTCATAAACACTGAAGGGTGACCATCTCCGCGCAGCACTGTCATTGTTGTGATATCTTGCAGATATACTGGAAACCTCATTCTCTTCAGCACTCCTTGTAGCACCCCCAGAGGTTCAAGAACATGTAGGTGCCTGAAAAATGGTAGAGGCTGCTTCTGATTGTAGCATTTCCAACCATTTTCCCTGCATACAAAGATAATGGAACCAGTATATGTAACAAGAATCAAGAATGGTCATTACATTCTAATGAGAACCTCAAAAGAAACACATGGAAGGGTTGCACACCTAAAGTAAAATCTGACACTAATCGATAACAGCTTTGGAAGAACATATTCCACGGAAGTTAGCATAGTAGTTGGACAATTTTCTTTGTAAACAACACCATAGAAGCTCATACTTCAAATTTGGGATTCAAGTTCCATACATTTTTTCCATATTGGAAAAGATAAGCAAGACAAAGACTATATATCTTAGGCAAAGATAATATAAAACCACAACTCTGGTATGGCCTTATTATACTAACTAATAAGAACAATGGAAAAAAGAGGTCAAAGGCCAAGTTTTAGGGAAATAGAAATTGACAGATTACCTGTTATGCCTAGATGACATGCTTCTGAAAATGACTTGGGTTCTCAGAGGGTCTAGATTTTGATCCACCCATCTTGCCCATGTGCTGAGTCCTTTTTGATAAGCGATCATTGCACTCATGTTTCTTATGAGATTATTTCCCTCCATGTAGTAATCCCACCTGGTATTATCATGATAGAACCCATTGACATATCTGATAGACTTAAAAGTGATTATAAAGAAACTCATTTAAATGGTACCCTCAATCGGAAGGAGTTTATAACTGTGAAACATTTACTGCAAATTTAAGATTAAATTGAGGGAATAGAAGAAAGAGCAATCTTTCTTACGAGCTGGTTTGATCAGAGTGAGTCCACCAATGGGCTGAGTCAAATACAAGGACATCAACTCCTCTCCAATACCTTGCATTTTCTTCAATCAAATCCAAGTGTACAATTCTCTTATTTTCTGAACCTTTCTTCAGTTCTACCAATAGAGGTGCCCAGAAAAACTCAATTGAAGTCTCAAAATCCTTCAGGTGAACACTACGTGGTCAATAATTTTCACAAAAGCAAAAGAAAACGTGTTATGATAAATATCTCACCATGGCATGGAAAGCCATTGCAGGTCCATTATAAGTCACCCTTTTTCGACTAGTTGGAATAACACCTTGCACTAAACAAACTAGAGATTCCCACTGATTTCTCATTATTGAATCACCCACCAGCATTATTCTCTTTCTTCTCATTTTTCCAAGAAACCTGAGTGCATCAAACCTGCACAAGATTCATAAGCAGGAGTTTGTCGACGACCAAGTATTGATCTCATCTTACATAATACATTCCACCACTCTGATTTAAGGTTGAAAAAATTACTTTCACAAAAATTACATAAATACATTAGAAAAGATTATCTCTTTTTTTGACAACTGACAAATGAAGAATGAAATAAATTCAGAAAAACAAAAGCAGTCCATTGAACTCATTAAGGGGAATCAGGGTTACTATCTATGTAGCAACATTTTACTTCTCAACGTATGATTGGAAAACAGTACGAAACTTACTTACATAACTGTATGTAAATTTTCGTCAAAAAAACTAGAGTCAGTGTTTAAAAGATAGAGACTAAAACCAAAATTCGAAGTTTTTTCATACAAAAACATGAACAACCCTGTATACCTTGGCAAGGTACAACCCGTTGGCTTCCACTTCCACTTCTCATAGTCAGAATCTGGCCTACCATTCTTCTGACAAGTAACTACAGAGCTTAAATATGGACAATCGGAGTCATAGAGAGGGTAAGAGTCATCATAAACCCATTTTCCAACTGAAAAGTCACATCCCTTCGGAGAATCTCTGTTGTTTTGGAGCATCTTAACATCATCAGCTTGAACCAGAATTCCAACCGCATCCCCTGGGTCCAGCAGGGACAATGTGCAGTGGAAGAAGCAGAGAAAGGTGCTGCACAACAAGAAAGAGGAAAGAAAGTGGATCTTTGGTGTTGCCATGGAAGAAACAAAAGTGTGAGAGAGCATAGAGTTAAAGTGTAAAGATGAGTGAGGGTTTATGTAGAGTGTAAAGGGCTAGTGTTTGGAGGTAAAGTGTTTGATCAAGTCATAACTTGCGGTGGTGATGGAGGTGTGGACCATGAAAATGCATTGTTTTTCTTTTCACCTATTGCTTGATACTTTTTTCTTCTTTAATAAGTGAATTGATCTTTGGAATTGAATAACTAGTTGTGTTTGGTTGAGACACTTATGCATGTGCATTTGTTATTGTCTGTCTGACATTGAAGTAGTTTCAGTGAATTGATGTTTCTTTTTTTCTTTTCCTTTTACATTTGAAGTTTTGTACTGAAAATAAGCATCCAAAATTAACTTATATTATTTTCCAAGTAAAATTGTTTATAATTTGTTCGTTGTTTTATATGAATTAATTTCTTATCAAATAATCTTTATTTATTAAAATCTAATAGTAATTTAATGATAAAAATATTTGAATTTAATTATCCCTTGTTAATAATAACATAGATAATATTTATTTATTTTAAGTCAAGTAATAGGCTTGTTTAACTTAGTTTTATTTTTTTAAAATAGTTTTATAAATTAATTTTAATTTTTTAGAAATAAGTTGAAAAAAAATTGTTTAATAATTTTATTTTATTTTAAACAAAAGAGAATGATATATATATCACTAAAATTTTATTAAGTAAAAATAATTTATGTTATTTTATTGTGATGAAAATGAATTACTTAATATAATTATTAGTGAAAATATTAATACCCATTAATAAAATAAAAATATCATTTATGATTTTTAGTTTTTAAAATTAAAAAAAAACATCATTTTAAATCTACTTTAACAAAACAGTTATAAATTTAAAAAATATTTGTAATATTTTAATAACTACTTAATAAAATTCAAATCTGGTTTCAACCTCCTTCTTCTTTTTTCTTTAACTTGAATTTGATAACCTAAAAATGTAACGGATCTTCAAAATTTTGTAGTTTATATATATATATATATATATATATATATATATATATATATATATTTATAATTTTAACTTTTAAATTATTGTTTTATTCATTTATTAATAATATATTATTTAACTCCAATATTAAGAAATGGTCAGCTATACATAAAAAGGAATGCACGTGTTAATTATTGATTGAATCTGAGTTAAGTGGAATTCTTTCAAAATAATAATTGATTTTCTTAAATTATCATCCCAATCATTACAGTTTATTGGAAATATTTTTCATACAAAATTAAGAATTTAAAAAAACAAAACACAAAAAAAAAATGAGATTTAAACTCTATAATAATTTTTCATATATATAAATAAATATAAACAACAAAACCAACCAATTAAGTCATACATAACTAACAATATCATAGGAAAAGAACAAATAAATATAAACAACAAAACCAATCAATCTTTAATTGAATGGTTAAGTCATACATAACTAACAATATCATAGGAAAAGAACGATGAAGGATTATACAGAGGAGAGGTGTGATACTGTTTCTGAATGAAAGGATGGTGAAGAAGCATTGAAGCACTCCATCTCAACCTATAATCTTTGACAAAACACTTGCTCAGGAAATTTGCACAATCCCAACTAAGTCCATAGGGTGTAGTTGGTGCTTCTTGAAGGTATCCAAGCTTCCACATGAGTTCTTCTTTGGTTTGCACATTCCTCCATGCAGGAAAACCAGTGATCATCTCAATAACAATGCATCCAAGAGACCATATATCCAAGGATGATTCAACCAGACCTATGATTGACTCAGGAGACATATAAAGAGGTGTCCCTCTAAATTTGATCTCCCCAAGGTTACTATTTTCCTCTTCCCTTGTCCTTGACAATCCAAAATCAGCAATCTTTAACTGATACTTTGAATGACCATCTGATGAAGGAAAGAGAAGAATGTTGTCTGGTTTTAGGTCACAATGAACAACTCCTTTTTTATGAATACAGGAAAGTCCCTTCAGAAGCATGTGGGTATAGCTTATCACTTCCTTCTCTGACAATGGTCCTTCTTCCCTTATCAGATCACCTAAGGAACCATATGGAGCATATTCCATACAAAGATTAGAGATAACATAACCTCCTTCCACAGTGTGTTTGTAAAAATAATACTGAAGGATTTCCTTGCACCCTTTGAATAACTCTAAGATATTTTTCTCTTTATGCAATGAGGCAACTGAGAGAAAAAAATTACTTGAACTCTTCACAGCAACCTTCAAATTTTGTATACTAGCAAGGTACACCGTTCCATATGAACCTCTTCCCAGAACTCTCAAATTCTTCCACTCTCCCATCTTTTTAAAATTCTAGAATTTGATCAAGTATGTGTTCAAATCCCAAATTTTAGTTTCATATTTATAACATTTTAGATGCAATTTTGCAATAATATAAATGCAAATAAAACCGTGAAGGATGTAAGTGATATATTTCTATTTGTATTTAGGTATTTTTTGATTATATCAATGTAAGAATTTCTATATAACCACGTATATGCTTAATTGTGGTAATTGTGACTGAATTTCTAACATGTCTTGTCCCTGTTACTCACTAATTATATTTTGTTTCTATTAATAACTTTATTTATACACGAACAAAATTTTGGGTAGTTAAAAAATTATTCTCCAACATATTAAATATAATAAGGATCTATTATCATCAATGATAAATCTATTATTAATATATTTATTATATGTTTTTTTTTCATCTTACAATATATAATGTATTCATTTATTAATCTAGTAATATACGATAATTAAGGATTTTAACTAATTGATTATTTAAAAAATTAATGTCTAATTAGAAAATATTATGATGATATACGTTCGTAATTAAATATCTTTCCTCAAATAGTTATTGTAAAACATAATTAAATAGGATATATATAACAGTTTGGACTTTCTGTAAGAGTAATTAAATATCTTTCCTCAAAATTTGACACTTTTTTTTTCATTTTTTATATTTCTCTCTCTATCTACTTTCTCAAGTAGTTCAAAAATAATTTTTTTTTTAAATTATGTTTCAAACAAATTCAATTATTCAACAATTCATTTTAAATAATAATATAATTTAATCTATATTTAATAAAATACATATTCTAAATAATACTCATTAAATATACTTTAAATTATTTTTAATAAAAATAATATATTAAAATTTTTATAAATAACTTATTTAATTAATCACAGAGTTTTTTTATAAATATTGTAAAATCATTTAATAAACAATTGACTTTACAATTTAAATTTGATTTTAATATTTTTTTATATTTAATAAACTATTCCATCAACTTTTCACGTATTCAATTATTTTTTCATATTAATTAAAATTGAAAATTCATATTTTGAAAATATTTAAACATATTAATAAATTAAAATAACATCCAATAAAGAATAATAATATCATAATTTTAAAAAATAAATATTATAAATAATTAAAATCTACAAAAATGCATGTAATTATCTTAATTTAAAATATTTTCATCACTTTATTTTATTTAAAACATGCATGTAAACTAAATTACATTATTATTTAAAAATAAATTTTTAAGTGTATTTTAAATTATTTTAAAGCGTAATTTTTTTCAATTCTTTTTACTTTTAGATGATTTATCATGAAGTAATTCAAAATAAATAAATATATAATACATGTATCTTCATTTGTCTTATAGTTACATCATTCAATATTTAATAACTTATAAGAAAAACTGGATATTAAATTAAATTAAGAGATTTGGTATCGTCACACATTATGACATCTCCATGTTACAGTTGAGAAAAAGTAAGAGTGTTTGAAAAAAATTATATTTTTATTTTATGTTATTGAAATAAATGTTATATTATTAAAATAAATAAATAAATTATAATAATATTATTTAAATTATAAATTCTAATATATTAAATTTAATTTATTGATTATAATTAAGTATTTTAATGTATGAATATAATAATTTTTTACTCGGTAAAAAATATTAATTAATAAATAAAAATTAAAGAATATTCATATATTTAAAAACTAAATAAAACTTTTTTTGTATATAAAACAATTTAAGAGACTAGCTTGATAACCGTGCTGATTATTATGGATAACTGCAGGCCCATTTTTTTCAAACCTAATATCGAGGTGTAACTGACTATAAAATGAGGGTCGCAGTGAAGCTCGGTGGTGTCTCCGTCCGTGTTACGCACCTCTGCTCCTCATTCCTTGAAAAGGTTTCAATCTCTTCTCTCTTCCTTGTTTTTTCTTGGTAACTTTGAGTTGATAAACTAAAAACGCAGCATCTGTTATTGTTTCTCTCTGTTTTCAAAATCCCTTATTTATTTTTTTTCAATTTGTTGAAGGTAGAGGCAGAATAGCAAGTGGTGAGGGAAACAGAGAAGGGGAAATAGGTTCTGCAGAGGTTGAAAAAGGTAGTGGCTGATCATCTGCGACAAGGTGCTTCTCAAGAATATATCCAAAAAGGTTCAACAATCTTGAAGTCCAGGGATCTTTGCTTGTAAAAAGGTTTTCACCAATCTGAGAGGAGAGGAGTATTTTTACGCGAAATATACTATTATCTAATAATTATGTTGCGTTTGAATTTGATAATGATTATTTTAAAATTTATTTCAATTTTAGTTAGTTGACCTTGTAAATGTCTTTAACGCTAACATTTATTCTTATTATAAACTTTTGATTCAAGGCTAATATCTCTATTATTATTTGCCGGCGTAAGTTTTTTTCACACGAGCATTATAATTTTTTTTTGTACTAATTACTTAAAAAGTTATATATAAATAATTTTAATTTGTTGATATTTATATACTAGTATACTTTAATACTAGCCTAAATTAAATTCTTCTGCTTATACTCGCAGTCGTGTTCATGGATTTATGTGTTTGTGTTACCAAACGATCAATACGAAACAAATGTGTATCAATATTTTTGTATTTTTATACTGATAAGTTTGATTTCCAAACTAAATAAAACCTATAGTTGTTTGGTTCTTTTAAAGTTTATAAAACATATGAAATCTAGGTGTTAATTTTTAATGTTTCGAGACTAAATTCAATCATATGAAAGTATAGAACATTTACTTCAAATATAGATAGTATCAGAACGACAAAAACATTTTTCCTTCAGAAATTATAGCTAGGAATGCTAAAAATGTTTCGTTCACCAATTGCTCACGTGGGGCCAAAACTGATGCTGAATGTGTTTATGCTCTCAATTATGGGGTGAATTTGCACCTGTAAGTTGTGTTTTTTTCATAGCCCACTTTCATTGTCTTGGTATCATCTTTCAATCTGCATATGAAGGTGGACTATTGTGCTTACCTTGTGAGGTGTAAGGTGATCACATTTCGTGCAAGTTTTGTTTTGGAGATTCTTGTACCATGGTGTTGGCAACTCAAGGTTCACCAAGGTTGACTGATTATTAGTTTTCTCTTATTGATTTTTTTTTTTTATCGTCATCCTTCATATTTATTTTTCTATAGAGGTTGGGTCTGGGTCAGGTGCTTATCATCAGGATATATTATCTCTTAAATTCGTTGCTTTTGATTAAAGTGAATTTTGGTCTTTTGACTTGGCTTATGTTTATATCATTGAAATTTTTGTGCCTATTTTGGTCTACAAATTTGTGGGATCGAAGTGTTCAGCAAATATTAGAGGTAAATATAGTGTATTTCTTTTGCTCGTTTCGCATTTATGGTCGCCATTAGTAACATAGAAGAGTCATATTACATGATAGAGGACAATGGTTATAATTGATTGCTTTTCACTTTAAAATACCCGGTGTCAATATCCAGAATTTTGGCCATGGCATGAGTAACAATATTTGGTAGGAGTCTATTAATGGGACACTTATACTTTTTAATAGAATGCCTTGACCAACTTTTTTTTTCGTTGTTAAGATTTCACTATTGGCGAGTTTATTGGTTTCATGGGACAACTGACAACTCTTGAAATAATTGTGTCTAGTAAGCTAATGTTGGAAGCAATGCACTTTTAACCCTTATTCCCGATCCAGTAACATGCTTTTCCACTGCATGATATTATCAGAAACAAGTCTTCAGACTCAAATTTGATCATGTTTGATTGGATTACAAACGGGTATACCATGAAAGTGGAGAGAAATAGGATACGGTAACTGTTCTACTGCTGTCCTTATGTAGAAGCACTAATAATATTTTCTTAGAAGATGGTCAACCGATATTCCCGGATACCGTAATTGCCTGCTTCTGTCTTTATAATATGTTTAGTTTGTTAGACAATTAAGTGTGTATACTATTGCAGAAGGTTGATAGGTGACATCTAGATGATCGGGTGTTAAGAGGTAGGGGAAACATAGATGGATTTATAACTATCTGATTATTTAGATATGGTGGAACCATTTTTCATAAAAGCAATAATAATGTTTTTATGCACCTTCGTCTCACTTTGTGTACATAGGTCACTTTTTATATAAGTATACATTGGTACACATCAGTTTGATTAGTCTAAAACAACACTTACAAAAATTAATAGGAATCAACTCATAGGTGGGATTATATCTTCTTTGTAATAATAGGTATCATATGGATTAATACCACACGATCTATGGTCCTAATTTTTTTTAATATGTAATGTGAACTAGATATACAATAAAATTATAGTGTATAAATGAGAGTACACACTTGATCTTATAAGTTAGTTTTATAGAGTTAAATTTTGTATTTTTCAATTTATAATATGATATCAGAATCAATTTTAATGATATTAGAATTATGGTACTGTCTATTAGTGATGGGTCTTTGAACCTTGGTTATCTTAGGTTATATCTTTAAGTAATACATGCATAATAATATCATGGGAAAAAAAATATATATTATCATTATGAAAGGTCAAATATTCTTTTGGCATAAAAGAATGGTTGAGAAACCATGTATCACTCAACCTCATCTTGACATCTTATATAAGTAATAATATCATGTGAGAGAAAATATGCAATATTATACATACAAGACGTTGATATTCTTTTTTGCATAAAAGGATAGTTGAGAAACGTTTTATCACTCTATATTTTAAGTGATACATAAGTAGCAATATCATGTGAGAAAAAAAGATGAAATATTATATATACAAGAGATTGGGCATTCTTTTTCGTAAAAGGATGGTCGAGTAACATGGTATCACTCAACCTCAACATATAATTTTTCACATAACACTACTAAAAAATTGTTCACAATATCAACTAAGTTCATTAGGTATATTTGGTCTTTTTTTAGGAATGTAAGCTTTCATACTACTAGCTTTTGTTTGGGCGGTAGGTTCTTCCC